TGTGGTCCCCTGTCTCTCTGCTGTGTCTCTAGTCAGTGTGGTCCCCTCTCTCTCTGGTATGTCTCTATTCAGTGTGGTCCCCTGTCTCTCTGCTGTGTCTCTAGTCAGTGTGGTCCCCTGTCTCTCTGCTGTGTCTCTAGTCAGTGTGGTCCCCTGTCTCTCTGCTGTGTCTCTAGTCAGTGTGGTCTCCTGTCTCTCTGCTGTGTCTCTAGTCAGTGTGGTCTCCTGTCTCTCTGCTGTGTCTCTAGTCAGTGTGGTCCCAGTTTCGAGTGTCTCACACTGTGTTGATCCTCTGCAGAAGTCCAGCAGCTTGAAGATGGAGGAGAAGATCAAGAACTACAGGACGGCTCCATTCGACTCTCACTTCCCAAACACCAACCAGACCCGCAACTGTTTCCAGAACTATCTGGGTAAACAAACACTTCACCGCCTTAGTTAATAAAGTCTCACTGTCCTTGTTTTCCTGACCAGACAATAAAAAGGGCTGAATTTACAAAAAGGAGGCAGATATTTTATCTTAGTCCCTGAATGAATTTGCATAAACATTTGTTTCTACCTTCTTATTTCATATATTCTTGAGTGTCTCTTTCAGGAGAATAATAATGTTCCTTCTGGATAGCTGACGATTGGCCATCTTATGTCAGACGGAGGAGGAGCGATTTGTTCACTTATCTAAGTTAAAACCTGCATTCTCTCTAGTGTCCACCAGGGGGCGACTCCTCTGGTTGTATAGAAGTCTATGAGAAAATGACTCTACTTCTCTCTTGATTTATTACCTCAGTAAACATTGTAAACATGAGTTCATGGTCTCAATCTCTAGTTTCAAGTCTTCTTCAATACAGCATGATGTTCATTCAGTAAATTATAGTTAATTTAGAGTCAAATGGACCATAAAGAGGAGTATGCTTTAGGGCGGGGCTTAATGTGATTGACAGGTTGATAACGCTGTAATCCAAGATGGCGTCCACTTCTCATATACAGTCTGTGTTGCTGTTCCAGTGCTGATTCTTTGGACATTAAAAACTGGGCGTTTATTTCCTCCTCTGACTTTTCTTCTTCTTCTTCTTCTTGCTCTGTTTTCTCTGCAGATTTCCACAGATGCAACAAAGCTCTGTCCTCCAAAGACCAGGACACGGCTCCCTGTGAGTGGTACCAGAGGGTCTTGAGCAGCTGCTTTCTTTTCTTTTGAAAAGTGACATTTATTATTTCTCCACAGTTTAGTTAAATGGTCAGATATTAAATATTAATGTTAAACATTTGTTTAATCGTTCTGTTTCTTTGACATTGATGTGAAGATATATTAATTATTCAACTTTTATTCCAGACTCATGAGTCCATATAGCAACAAACACAAATACAACAAGAATATATAAAATACAATACGAGGACACCAAGTCACAGGTATAATCATTGCAGTTAAAACCTGTCAATTTGTCAAGAAAGCGAAGAAACTAAGGAAATAGATTTTAATTTATTTAGCTTAAAATCACAGTTGCATCAGCGGGCTTCTTAATATTTACAATACGCAAAACCCTCCATCCTATGACCCCATTTGCATCAATAAAAGTTACATTTAAAAGATTTTTTCAAAGTGCAATTGCAATATGTAGTGGCAGTACAAAGTAAAGTTTAAATATATGAAGTAAAATTGTTCAGAATAAAGACATAAAAAATAAAACAACTCATAGCTTTGGCTCCTCAAAGTTTACCAGAAAAATTTGCCACTTTGTGTCAAAACAGGACAAAAACATAAGATTAGATTAAACTTTATTGTCACAGTACAGAGTTTAGTCACTGAGCCAATGAAACGCAGTTTAGCATAAAGAGTGAAGAAAAAAACAGTAAATTTAAGGTTAAAAAAACACAAATTCCAGCTGTTCTGGAGCTTTTGATCACATCACATGATCTTCATCCGCAGATTTAGTTTGCACGCAGGACTTCTCATCCATGTCAACTGTAAAACATTAAATTCAAATGTTCATTCTTGACCTTGGAAACATACAAATAATCTCACCATGAGGTCCGTTTAGCATCTCTTCTGGAGCTTTTGATCACTGAGAGAAGAAACAGATACAATTGAGTTAAGAGTTTTTCACAACTCATTCTGGCACAGCTGAATTGTTGCATAATCTTTCTACACAAACCGTGCGTGATGCACCGTCACCTGACTTTTGTTATAGTCACGAGCAAATCACAAGACTGGAAGAACTGCAGTGTGAGCATTATTTCATATATATCCGTCTTTTATTTCACATTAAAATGGACGGTTTCCTCGTGTTGTGGCTGTTTAAAAGATGTCTGCGAAATGCAAAGAGAAAAAATAATAATGTTTGAAAGGTAATCAATTGTACAACTGGAGCATCATCATCTGAGCAAGTTGCATCAGCATCCGCTGCATCGGCATCAACCCTGCAGCTTCTGTCAAGGTCGCCAGCGAGAGGCATCATGGGAAGGCGAGGAGGACACCGAGAGCGCGAGGGAGGGAGTGGTGTGATGGGGGGGGTGTCACAAATCCCTCAAGACCCTTTAGGACCCGCCCTACCGCGCATGCGCCCACGGTTTCGTCATCTAAACTGACCAAGTAACCGAATAAAGGTCCGCGTCCATAATAGGAGGTGGTCGCGCGCCTCGCCTGCACCTCACGGGATGCGGTGATGATGCACATGAGTCACGGATTTCTGCACGTAGAAGCGGAGGGGCGGGGCCACGTCACGGCATCCCAGCATTCCAGTTTTTCATAGGTTGATGGAGCAGACGGGAGGGGGGGAATGAAATAATAAAAACATTTACGTGCGGTTTACGTGCGTTTCTCCTCGCTGCTCCCGTGTGAGACGAATTCCGAGAGTAAAGGAGGGAGGGTGCTCTGCTGCAGCTCACCGACTTATCTTTGTCACGACAGGTGAGTTCTGCTGCATTTGTCACGTTTCTGCTGCTTTTATGCGTAAAATCTCCTTTCGTGGCCCAGTTTCTGTCTCACTGAGACAGAAAGAGGTCAACTGGACAATGAGTCATCTACATCCACGTCCTGTACTTTATAGCTTTAAATAGTGATCAATACAAACTGCATGATATCGATTAGTAGTGAGAGGGTGAAGGACGGGAGAGCGGTCGTGTCCTGCCCGGCAGAGCCGGCTGGTACCACGGACAGCGCCTAATGTGGTGTGTTTCTTTTCCTGCAGCTGTGCGCGCAGGCGGGCGGGTCCTGCAAATCTTTTTTCTCTCAACCACCACCTGAAGGTCTGCATCAGTTGGAGTAAAAATTCCCGACTGTATACCAGAAGATGGAAGGAAAGGTAAGTGATTTCTGTCTTTCTTCATATTCTATTGAGATCCGGATGTGGTTTTGTTTAGAGGTGGATTGTTTTGTTTTTTAAAGGAAATGTATTTTATCATTGTGACTCCAGTCTGTCTTTACCACTCTAGAGTTCACTGGAGTTGTGATATGTGAATACTGCATGTGTAAGGAGTGTTTCTACATAACGTGAGAGGGCGTTGTGAGTCTGTATGTTTGCCGTTACAACTCTGTGTCACCCACTGCTGCAGACGTGAGACACATCATGTTTGTGATGTTCTCTTCAGTGTGCATGCCTTCGTTTTGATATTGTGGACCAAAAACAAGAGACAGAAGAGAAAAATCATTTTAATTTGACTAATTTATCAAGCAGGCAGCTTTAGATAGACTTAGATTTAGGATTCAAGGTTATAAAGTAATGTTCAAACTTGCATTTCTTCTGCAAACACAGATCAAACAAAATATCTTGAAAAGCGTTGATTGCAGAAAATATTCCTTCAATGCAAAGCAACAGAGTAAACACTATATGAATATGATGATAGATGCGTTATTGAGAAGGCTTAGTATAGCAGAAAATAGACCAGAATGCAATGCAGATACAAGACGCCTCTTCACAACTAAAAAAGCCCACTTTATCTCTCTTACTATGAAACCAAGAAGAAATCATTTTTATTGTCATATACACGAAATTTGCCTTCTGCATTTGACCATCCCTGTATGGGAGCAGTGGGCTGCCAATGACAGGCGCCCAGGGAGCCGGGGGTTCAGTGTCTTGCTCAGGGACACATGACGCGTCCCAGTCGAGGATCAGACAACCCTCTTAACCCAGTGAGCCGCGGTCATCCCTATGACGATACTCTCTGCACGTACCCATGTTGACACCCTTCCTCTGGGGTTTGCTCGAGGGAGCGGTAGAACGTCAAATTAGAAGTAGTGAATCTATTTGGTGATGTCGGTGATTTTACTCTGGTGCTACAATGTCTGGCTGTGGTCGTTCTATGTAAATGTGCTTTTGTTTGTTTCTTCATTATTAATATTATTAATTATTTGTTGAATATATTTGTCCTTCGTTTCTGTCTGGCTGTGTGTTTCTCTCTCTCGGCTGTAAAAGATATTTTGATCTCAATGCTGTTGTGTGTTAAAACGTAGATGATAGGAGCAGGACGTTGTGGTTGTTTTGTCTCTTTTTTAGTTATTTTGTGCCTCTTTGTGGTTATTTTGTATCTATGTTGTTATATTTTCTCCATAATTGTTTTGGACCTTTTTGCAGTCGTTTTGTGTCTCTTTGTAGTTTTGTTTTTCTTTGTAGTTGTTTTGTGTCTCTTTTGTAGTTGCTCTCTTTTTGGCCATGTTGTGTGACTTTGCCATCGGTTTGGTCTTTCTGTGGTCATTTCTTTCTGTAGTTGTTTTTTATCTTTTTGTGTGTGGTTTGTGTTCATGTTATGTCTCTTTGTGGTCTCATTGTGTCTGTTGCAGCTGTTTGGCTTCTCTTTCGAGTTGTTTTGGTCTTGTTGGTTCTCTTTGTAGTAGTTTTATGATTATGTGGGCATTTGGAGTCTCTTTCTGGTAACTACGTGTCTCTTTGATTGACATTTTGTGAAGGCCAGGGGTCCTTGACACTTTGGGCCCCTGGGCCTGAGCCTGGTAGACCCCGTCAGAAATCCATCCATCCATGAATAATGTGTAGTAGTAAATTTAGTAGCACAAATGTGTGTTATTGTGTTGCTACGCATATGTATTCTATACATTCATCGTCCTGTCGTGCTCTGACTCGGCGTCCTGCTCTCATGGCTCGTGCTGAATATTGACGAGCTCATCATCACACGACCCTCCCGCTGAAGTCCAGCCTGAAACGTTATCGAATTCATCCACAAAAACAGCTCGATACATCCACCCTTCCTCCTGGTTTCCTCCAAAGTTGAGTTGATTGTCTCGCTGCTGGCTGGATGTAGGTCACATGTAGTTACTGGCTGTGTGTGTGTGTGTGTGTGTGTGTGTGTGTCCACACCCACATGCACCATTGCAGTAAACTATAGTGTCACTTTAGTGTGTGAGACCCTGCTGCATGGGTGCATGCGTTACGTGCCGTGGTTTCTTTTCAGCCTGTGTCATTAACAATCTTACCTCCAGGCTGTTGCCACAGAGACGAAGGAAGGAAGGAAGGAAGGAAGGAGGGAGGGAGGGAGGGGGGAGGGAGGGATATGGACATTCGTAGATGGATGGATGGATGGAGGGGGCAAAGTGAAAGGGAGACAGCTTTATTGAGGTGAGCAGAAAGATAACGACATCGCTTTCAGATAATAAATGAAGAGTGTGGAGTTTAATAAGGGCAGTTGGTTCCATTGTTTTTCATGTGCAGACACCAGAAAAAAAGAAATCCTGTTGACTTTTTGTCAAATCTGAGTGTTCCAGCTCAAAGGCCACACACGTATTAGGCTGGAATGGTGTCATCATGACACCGGTTACCATAGTAACGCAGCATCTGTTCATCAAATGTGGGAGCTCTGCAGCAGGCGGCTAAACGCAGAAGTTCGTCTGGAGCTTAAATCCATGCCTCGTGGAACATCCTTCAGCTTGTATTCCTAGATTTCTGTCGTGTTTTTGCTCTTTTTTGCAATCCTTTTCATGTTAGCACCTTTGATATTAAAATGATTGATATCCAATAATATGTAATATATCATAAGATCAAAGAGGATTTCAGCTGTTTGAACAAAGGATTTGTTACCAAAATAATAAAACTCGATTGCACTTCACAGATGCCCAGAAAGATCTAAACAGAAATGGTAACGTGTCACTAAAAAGCAGCTGAATTGGTATTTGGCCCGTCACACACCGTTGTAATCGATCCTTACCTGACACGTTTAGGCTGCCGTCATGTGACCAATCATTCCTACTGAGTCACTGTGACTTGACAAAAAAACAAAACACAGTCGATGAGGGAGACAGAGAGAAAAGAGGAAGGTGGATTTATACAGCCGTGTGTGTGTGTGTGTGTGTGTGTGTGTGTGTGTGTGTGTGTGTGTGTGTGTGTCGTTATTGATATATACATTTTTTATCTCCCAGCCCTACCAAACGTCTTTGGACGCAGACTGGGATTAAAATAGAAATGATGTAATCTGTTTTCCAGATTACTTTGGTGAAGGTACAGTGCATTCATTCTGAACCACTATATATATTTTATAATCTTTTTAAAATGTTGTTAGAATTTATCTTTACTGAATTTGAAGAATTTATTGATGAGAGAAAATATAAAGACGAGATTCTGAGATCCACATCAAGAGCAGACATCAGTGCGTTTGCAGACGGACCCAGATAAATGTAGCGGCTGTTAGTCTGTGTCGGCTGACCGGATTATTGATCGCTCGTAAATGTCACCGAAATCCTCAGGGAACGTATTCAGGGAATTTATGCAAATGAAGGGAGGCAGCAAAAACAGTGAAAAGGCTTTTTGTCCTAAGAGAAGATTTCATTAACCTTGAGAGCTGGAAAACATCTTGGTCTTAGAAAGAGGTTGATTCACCGGATGAACGCAAAGATCTGAGATGTTTACAGACAAAGTCTTTAAGACAAAGACCGAGAAGGTTTAGGAGTGACTGACTCCTGCTGTAGCTTTGCTTCAGGCACAAACTAACATGTCACAGGTGAAAGATTCTGTTCCCTCCTCCACCTCATCCGTTATGGTCACACATCAGGACGCCTCCTCGTGTGTTATCACTTATTTAAAAGGCGTCATGACTCATCTCACGGCTCGCTGGTTCATTTCAAGGCTGAAACGGGGAGTTTCTGAGATGTTTGCAGAGAAAGTAAATGTGACATTTTTACAACCAGGGTCCCTAAAAAAATGAAGTGCTTCCATTTCACCTCTATCTACCTGCTTATATAGTTTTATTACCTTATTTCTGGCCTTCGAATCGACTGCAGAACGTAAGATAAATCATGCTGAGCTTTTCCAATCGCTCCTTTAAATAAACCCACTTTGCCCTTCAAATCATTTCCCATAGCCTACGTGTTTCTCTCTCTCGTCCTCTGATTGGTCCTCTGTGGCCGACGCCCATCTGGCTACAGTGAATCTTGAGAAGTGCAGTCTACGCTAATATTACCTGACCTCGCGCTGGTGATGTCGTACCAAGGGCAGCGGATCACCTGAGGCCTCTCCAGGCGTCCATACTGTCTCATATAACAGCTGCACATTCTGCCGCATCAGCAGCGAGTCCCTTTTTAATACTGACTTACAGACACCAGCGGAAACAAAGACACAGTGGCCTAATTTACGCTGCTGTGACCCAACTTGACCCGCCGGGATTTTAATATAAATATAAGTATATATGAGATTAATCTAGATCTTTGATCTTTGTTGACCTCCAGTAACTCCACTGCTAAATGTAAATGAACATTCCTGATACTTCTGGAGAAACTAAACCACTTTCAAACACCAGCATCCATCTGCTTTTTGAAAATGACACACGCTCATCGTTATTTACTATGAATGCATCTGATGGAGGCTCACAGAGGCTCAGACGTTAATCTCACCGTCATGACGCCAGTGGCGGCTCCTTTGATACTGATCTCATTACGAGGAGATGAATCGATGGCGTTATGGGGGCCGGGGCTCCGAATCAGGTGGACGGCTTCTTTATTGAATTTCATCTGCATTGAGCGGATTTATGTTTGAAAAAGAAAAAGCAGTCGATCACAGAGACAGTTGCTTTACCTTGAAAGCCTCCAAGGTTGAATGGAAATAATACATTCTGTAGTTCATCTCAGGTTTAATTTTGTTGTCGGGTGTCTCGACACCCAAGGTGAACAGGGTAAAAAGAATAATAATGATAATAATACATGCCATGAAATTTCCCCGTTATGTTTAGATATGCAAATGAGGCATTATATAATTAAATATGTGCTAATTTGCATACATTTCATTCAGAACATAATACTGAACTTTGGATAAAGCCAGGTTTCCTTTTGTTTATTTATCAGAGTCAAAGGTTTTTACAGAGGGAATGTTGTTTACCTCTTTGTATCATTCAATAAATAGGAAAAATCACAAACATCTATTTTCATAATGTTTTTATTAATAAAACGTTGTATAAATGAGTGTGTGAGTGATGTGTGAACAAACCCCTCTGTGTGAACCTTCAGCACACAGAGAGGAATGAACGAGTGAAGTTTGGTGAATGTAAGAGCTGCTGAAGTGGAGATTTATCATCAGAGTCTGAGAACAAACTCATTTAGAGGAAACGTCCTTTAAAGAGACGTTTAGTTCCATTACAGACATTTAGAGACTCTACAGGTGAATAGGGTCACAACATGAACTCACAGATATCACCATGAATCTTCACCACTTCATTACTCACATTAGGACAAATATGTATTGTATTACAAGTTTTATGAAACGTTATGTTAAAATATTCAAACGAGGCTTTATCTAATGTTAACTTTTGGTGATTTTAGGAGAAATCTACAGACGCAAACAGATAAAGTATTAAAATCAACAACTAAATGTGTGTTCTGGATGCAAAATATACTAAAATCTCAAAATTGACAAGTGCAGGAAAAACAACTGTTTTTGGTCTCACCTTCATAGTTTTTACTCAACTCATTATTCATGACAGATACTCTGATGTTTACATGAAAAGCATTAAGAGCCGATGTGTCATGAGGATTCTAGTATAAACATGATGTCTGATATTATTGTTCATGCGTCACTGACCTGTCTGCCGTCAGCATCACAGTTTTATTGAATCTGTATTCCGGCCGCAATTACTGGAAATCTCATTATGAGCTCAGATTTCATGTTCATTATGTCTCTCTCTCTTTGTCTCCTTCCTCCACCTTTACTTTTATCTCCGCATCCGTCTCCATTTTATGTTTGCTTTCTTCACGCTTCTTCTTTTCCTCTTCTTCCTGACATTGTCTCCTCCTTCTCTCTCGCTGCAGGAAAAGCAGGTAACAGGTTATCTCCTGTTCTCTCTCGGCACGGCTGTCATCGGATCTCTGCAGTTTGGTTACAACACGGGAGTCATCAACGCTCCGGAGCAGGTTGGTGGTCAGTTGGTATTTCACATCACAAGTGTGTTTGTTGCCTAAATCTGAAGGCTCTCTGGCTGAACATGCACGCAGTCTGAACCTTAGCTTCTCCAGATGTGAACAGCAGCTATTTGTAAAGGTAAACATCTGCAAATCATGTGACGTGAAGTCAAACAACCCAGCTGGTGATTGATGCCTGAAAAACCAAAACCAAAGAGATAAGAGAGGAGTGGTGCAGCTTTACATCGGATTATTGAGTAGAACAGATTTAAAGCTTAAAGACTTTCCCTACAGCAATACATCTGCTTCTACTTATAATAATACTTCTTCTACTGAAGATACTTCTTCTACTGATGAAACTACTTCTAAAAATGATGATACTACTGCTTCTACTACCAATACTACTTCTTCTACTGACGATACTTCTGCTTCTACTTGCAATACTACTTCTTCGGCTGCAATACGTCTGCTTCTACTTATAATAATACTTCTTCTCCTGAAGATACTTCTTCTACTGATGAAACTACTTCTACTACTACCAATACTACTTATTCTACTGATGATACTTCTGCTTCTACTTGCAATACTACTTCTTCTACTGACGAAACTACTTCTTCTACTGACAATACTAATGCTTCTATATACAATAGTACTACTGTTGTTATACTACTGCTATTCAAGCTGCTAAAACTGCTGCAACTACTGACAATACTACTATGTCTACTGTTATCCATTCTGCCAGTACTACTACTAATACTACGATGACTGTCTGCAGACCTCAGTGCACTTCTGTCTTTGAATACAGGAAAGATTTATCTGTTTGTTCATCTCTCCCTGCCACCAGAAACTGCGATCTTTCTTCAACGATACCTGGGTAGAGCGTTATGGCGTGCCCATCACGCCGGGGGTCTGCACCATCGTCTGGAGCGTCTCCGTCGCCATCTTCAGTGTGGGCGGCATGGTGGGCTCCTTCAGCGTGGGCGTCATGGCAAACCGTTTTGGCAGGTAGGGAATCAAATGTCATACGGTCTGTTGAATGCACAGGTAGAAATGTCTGTTTTGCATCTTGATTATCGGGGTTATTCTGGGACATATTCAATGTCATTATCCGGTATTTGCTTTGGGGCTTTTGTTGTTCCCTTCATGGCTCTGTGTGTTTCCTGTGTGGTTCAGCTGAGCTGTCACAAGCCATTAGTCCTAATTAAGCTCGTGGAGGATGTCTGTCTTTAAGACCGCTGCTCGGCTCTAATGTTCCTCCGTTCCTCCATTTGCCTCTGAGTTTTACCCTGTGCATCAAAACGCAATCAGTTTCTTTCTTTCTGTGGTGAGCCTGATGTTTTCACCGCTGCCATGAATGTGTTTTCCAGATACAACAAACAGATACAGTGATTTCTAAAGTCAGGCTAGGTGGTTTTGTTGCCTAAATCTAATTTTCATTTTGTATGTAGTCCCGAAATAAACAAGCATTTTGTGACTATTTCAAGAACTGCTTTGAGCCTGTGAGCCTCTGAGCTCTTCCCAAAACTAAAACCATTTTTTTCTCAGTAAAAGAAACTGATGCTCTCCTCCTCCTCCTCCTCCTCCTCCTCAGGCGTCGCTCCATGTTCCTGGTGAACAGCCTGGCGGTGATCGGTGGCCTCCTCATGGGCTTCTCCACCATCTGCTCGTCCTATGAGATGGTGATCGCCGGTCGCCTGGTCATCGGCCTCTTCTGCGGTCTCTTCACCGGCCTGACCCCCATGTATGTGGGCGAGGTGTCACCCACGCCCCTCCGTGGGGCCTTCGGCACTCTCCACCAGCTCGGTGTGGTGGTGGGCATCCTGATCGCTCAGGTCAGCAGGAACCTCACGTTTAATGACCCAACAGATGTGGATTTATACCATTTCTTACTATATAATCCAGTTAGCTACACCACAGATTTTGACTTTAGATGGATTAATCAGCTTTGCTGTGACTCTGATCCAGCTGTTGTGGCTCTTGGTGTTTAGATCTTTGGTCTGGAGGCTCTGCTGGGCTCAGCCAAGCTGTGGCCCCTGCTGCTGTCCCTCACGGTGGCCCCGGCTGTGCTGCAGTGCATCCTGCTGCCCTTCTGTCCAGAGAGCCCTCGCTTCCTGCTCATCAACCTGAAACAGGAGGAGGAAGCACGCAAAGGTACGCACTGATACTGCTACGATACTTCTGCTTGACAATACTACTTCTTCCACAGACGATAATATTGCTTCTATTGACAATACTACTTCTTCTACTGACGATACTTCTGCTTCTACTTACAATAGTACTACTGTTACTGCTATACCACTGCCATTTAGGCTGCTATTACTGCAACTATTTCCATTTCTACAGCGCCACTAGAACATTGTGCTGCAGGCATTGCCTTTACTGCCACCACTAAAACCAAGTCTACTACTACTTCTACCGCTGCTATTACTGCTACAACTATGAACACATCTACTTGTACTGCTGCTGCTGTCACCTCTACCATCTGTACTACTACCACTGCTTATTCTACAGTAACCACTGCTTTGATCACTGCTACAAAACTACGAAGTAATGAAGGAAAAAGAGAAAGACAGACGTGTCCAAGGCAGAAAAAGAGCCGATGAATGAGTGCGAAAAACAGAAACGCTAACCCAGAAAACCGAGAGACTGGGAGACATCGATACTTAACAGGTACACAGGGTGAGATCAGGTGAGACGGGATCATTTCGCAGCTTCAAAGAGTCCTTGAACAGGCAGAAGGTTTTGGCATCTGTTCAACACACTGCAGCCTGTCGGGGTCGACTCTCAGGCTCTGACCCACTTCTCCTTCACACTGCTCATCTGACACAAACACATGGCCAGTTAGCAGCCACGTCATAGTTTGCGACTGTGTGGCGTTTGTGGTGTTGACAGCAAAATTTGTTTTTTCTGCTCTTTTCTTTGTGAAGATAAAGAATCTGATGCGCCTCTTGTTGACTAACAGCTGAACCAAAAAGGGCGACTAACAGGTCACTGAACTGATTGTGTCACTGCAGAGTTTTAGGATAATATGAGTCAGTATACCGTACGAGTATTTGGCCACTTTAAAGCCGCCGTGTGTGGGATTTGTATGTGATTAAAGCGCCTTTAAAATGAGTTTGTAGGAGATCAGACAGTCCTGCTGAACAATGGCAATTCATGTCAGTGTCCTTGGGTCAGATGTGTGGGGTTTGAGGTGGTCTGTCTACCACATTGTCTTCTCTTGTACAACCAGTAGAGGTTGCCATAGATAAAAATCTAATAGTGGCGTTTTTACTTTTTTTTTTTTATAACTTTATTGGATATAATCCATTGGAGAGCTACAAAGAAATGAGTTGAAAGGTGAGGGATGAGAGTTTCACGCCTCAACTCAAAACAGGGATATTGCGATCACATGGTCATCATTTGTTTGCGTTCTGTTGACAGCGCTGGTGCGCCTGCGCGGTAGCGAGAACGTGAGCAAAGACCTGCAGGAGATGAAGGAGGAGAGCGCCAAGATGGCCATGGAGAAGAAGGTGACCATCCTCGAGCTCTTCCGCTCGCCGGCGTATCGACAGCCACTCCTCATCGCCGTCATGCTGCAGCTCTCCCAGCAGCTGTCAGGGATCAACGCTGTGAGTCAGCAGCAGGCAGCATGTCCACACACACACACACACACACACACACACACACACACACACATACATACAAATACACACTTATACACTCTGTCAACATCTACTCGTTCCTCTGGTCTACTTCAAAAAATACACATAATAAATCAACACATACACATACAGTACATATTACAGTTAAAGCATTAATGTCACCTGTTAAGCAGTGGTGGAAAGTAACTAAGTACATTTACTCAAGTACTATACTTACATGGAATTTTGAGGTACTTACTTGAGTATTTCCATCTTTTGCTACACATCTACTCCACTCTTACGTATCTTAAGTATTTAAAATCAGCATAACCTTTACCAGCTGCAACAGTAAAGTGCTGAACACATTAATGCATCAATAATTATAGTCCAATAATATAATATGCATTATTCTGAAATGAGAAATTCTGCATGATGAGTACTTTCACTTCCTTCACTTTTACTGCAGTAAGACTTTGAAGAGTCAGGTTCTTGTTTCTTGAGTCAGGGGTCGGTTGTGTTTTGAACATGATTATGTGATTGGACCTTACTTAAATTGGCTCTGAATAGGAATTACGGTAAATACCTTAAAATGTGAATAAGAATTGTCATTAGCGTGGTTTAGAAACTATGAAAAATCAGCTGGAGGTGCTCAAGAAAATAACTAGTGCTGGGCAACGATTACAATTTTTAATCGCATTGTTAAGTGCAACATTCAATAATGAATTCAAAAGTAGTGTATTGCGCACTTTTATTTTAAAAGTACTGCTATATGAACAAAAGTGCAATAATATTTGACTTGCAAACACTTTAGACAAATAAGGTTCTTTTTAACAGCAGTATTCCCTTTACACAGTAGCAGTTATAATACAGTTATAATGATTGTGATAATAGATATTCAGCCAGTGTTCATAACTTTATGTGTGTAAGAGATGCAATTTGAAATCTGAAACCTCTCAACGTCATGTTTTTTCCTTTTTTTATGTTTGATAAATTCTCAGTAGCGATAACTAAATGATATGCTGATTATACATATTCCAAACAAAAACACTTTAAAAACTCTAAAAAAATAATTAGTTTTTGCTATTTTTGGTATTTTGGTCAGACACATATGCAAAGCTGATTACCGTAATATGTGTGGTATTTGTTATAAATGTACGTTGTTACATAGAGGGTGATAAGAAGCTGTACATGGAGGGACTTAGGACCCAGGGGAATGTAGGTGAAGGAAACAGGAAGAGACGGAAGTGACGCCACACAAACAGCTGTTCACCGCTCACTGCCAGCCGGTTCTGGTGTTCAACATGTCCGCTTAGTAATAAAAAAAAAAACTGCGTTAACGCGCAATAAAATAATTGTCGGCGTTAATTAATGAATGCGTTAACGCGATAATAACGCGTTAACTTGCCCAGCCCTAAAAATAACATAAAACACATTTATTTGAATTTAGTTATAAAACGTGTATTTTCTCCTCTCCGTGTCCCCTCAGGTGTTCTACTACTCGACGGGCATCTTTGAGTCAGCCGGCGTGAAGCAGCCCATCTACGCCACCATCGGAGCAGGCATCGTCAATGTCGTCTTCACCGTGGTTTCTGTGAGTGACACCGGCCTGTTTGTCTTTCTCCCTGCGTGTGGTTTTTTTGTGCATTGTTCAGCGGCTCATCACCGACCCCATGTGTCTTGTCCTGCAGCTCTTCCTGGTGGAGAAGGCGGGACGAAGGACGCTGCACCTCCTGGGATTGGGAGGAATGGCGATCAGCGCTGTGCTCATGACCATCTCCCTCCTGCTGGTGAGTTCAACATTATGGTAATGTTGGGATGAACTGTCCCTTTAACTTTCCGATAAAACTACTAATTACTACGGCTTTAAACTCAGAATTTGGACTTTGAGATTGATCTCAAAACTCCAATAAGTCCTTCCCAACAAAGTAATACATAAAACATATGTGCAGTATGTTGCACATATGTCTTTAAATCACAAGGCGTTACTCTTTCGTTTGGTTACAAAGAACACAGAGCAGATTGAATAAAGTAATTATCAAAGGTTATGAACAACCTTCAAAGTCAGTAAGAACTGTGTCTTCATTAGATGTCATTATTTATTTTCTTGTCTTCCTCTTCCTCTCTCTCTCTCTCTCTCTCTCTCTCTGTCTCTCTGTCTGAGCAGAAGGACATTCCCGTTATGAGCTACATGGCCATCGTCGCCGTCATGCTGTTCGTGGCCATGTTTGAGATGGGCCCCGGTCCCATCCCGTGGTTCATTGTGGCCGAGCTGTTCTCCCAGGGGCCCCGCCCCGCCGCCATGGCTGTGGCCGGATGCTGCAACTGGACGGCCAACTTCCTGGTTGGAATGAGCTTCCCCAAACTAGTGGTAAGTCCTGGTTTGGGTTCAGTTAGGATGTCTATTCTTTTATTTGTCTTTGTCTTCTTTTGTTATAAAGGTTTTTGTTGTATTCTACTGTTGTCTTGGGTTGATTTTTTACCATTTTTTGCTGTTTTGTAATTTATAAAGTATTTTAATCATCAGATTAGCTTGATTTCCTTCTGTCTTTCCTTTTCTGTTGTCTTTGACTTTTTCCTTCTCTTTTATATTTTATATACACAAGATAGATACACAGACAGACAGACAGATGCACGGACAGA